AAAAAAATGAAAATTTTATAAAAATGTGTGATATGTTTTCGTCAAAAATTAGTTCAACGTAATAATTACCTTACTAATAGCAATAATAATATTAAATGTCCTAACCAGACGTCAGGTACCATACTTACCAACAACATTCAATAATATTTATTGAAAATTGTAATTAATTTTCCCGACAATAGTCTTAGGCTAAATATAATTTATTAAGTCTTTATTATTTTGTATTTATAATTTATAATATTACATACCTAGTTATTTATAATCTGTATTATTATTTGTAATTATGATATTTTAGATTTATATCTATTATGAAATTCCAGAAATTGTTAATTTTGTACTGTCCAAGATAATTAATGATTGAATGAGGAATATTATAAGACATACGGTATACAACTATGTAAACTTAATAGCTTAATATATTTATAGTAACTAATGTATATGTGATTATGTGCGTATCACAAAGATATATCAAATTTATTTTCAAAACAGACAAATACATTTTTTTATTCCGAAGGTAACCTAATATAAAGTAACCCATTTTTTTAAATTTCTATAATGTTTTTTATGAACAAAATATGGTCTTCCGCTATCATTAAATTTTATACTTACGAATTAACAAAAYATTCCATTTTCATTTACCTATACAAGTTAATTAAGTATTTAGCAAAAAATTAAAAGATCCTAAAATGTCGTTATGCTGTGTCAGAATCCTTTTCATGCGTAGGTAATCATATATTATGGTTTATGATTTGCAATCATATTACCTTAAACCACGTTAAAAATAAATATTTAGTTATTTACAGCTGAACAGTAATATTTGAATGTATTACATATCGGATAGTGGTATATTTACAATGCCGACTACAATGTTTATTCACTAATAAATGGAATTGAAATACAAATATTGATTAAATCTATAGCTCAGTTACTCAGGAGTATATGATGACTGAAATTTTCTAATTTCATCGTAGAAAAAACGGAACGTATTATAAAAAACAGCTCTTCTTACTGCGAGAGTCAGTAACAGGACATGAAGTCCAAAATTATAATATGCATATCAATGRCAAAAATAATATTATAATATAATAGCTAATAATTTAACTATTAGCTCCCACATAAATTAATGGAATTCGTATAACGATCTAAGTTCTCACTATAGTGAAACTTTTGTATTAAACCTATAGAAGACTAATTTATTGGGATCATACAAAATTACATATCGCTGTTACTGAGATGTCTCAAATTACGTAATTTATTATCCTTACCGGGTTAAAATAATATAAGAAGTTATACACTTTTGTTGAATAAAATAAACTAGAAAGRTGAAGATTTAATTTGAATTATACAATTTACTCATTTTGATGTAATAAATAAATTGTAAAGCGTGTGGTCTTTATTTAACTAATGTTTATAAAATTTTTTCAGAAATTATTTTCTATTTGAATTTGAATTTAAATTTAAAAAAACGATTTATTTTTATGCATTAGAAAGTTAGTTTTGGAGGTAATATATTATATATTTGGGTATATAGTATATACATATATTGATGAAAAAAAACATAACTTGTAATCGTGTATTCTGTGGATCAAAGTTTTTATACGTTTCAACTATAGTAAGCGCTTTTTGAATAGATAATATGATGACACCAATGTGGTAAAGTCATTGTGGGTTGAACTCAAGGATGCTACACTAACTATAGCTTACTATAATAGTTATTTTAATTACTATTCAAAAAATTTTAAAATTCATATTCTACTCTTCAAAGTTCAAATGTAGTTAATCCGATAATGTATATACTATTTAAATATGTTGAATTAATATTAGAAAAAAAGCATTTTTAGCAAAAAATAAAAAGCAATACAATTTTTGATTTATTAAGTGCAACTTTTATGTTTAAAAGAGTTAAATACTGACGTTAAAATGAATAACAGAGTTCTCTTTGGTTTTTCATTTAATTTTTTTTTATTGCGTTATTGATTTTAAAAAAACGTTGATTTTATAATAAATTTTAATGTAGGTACTATAATAATTATTTTCATTAGTCTCATCTAACAAAAAAATATGATATACTTAACACGTAGAAGGGGTTTTATTTTATTCTAAAGAAATTATCAACTTTGATACGCAGCTTAAAAATAATTCTGAATGGAGCTAGTTTTGCAGTTTTTCACAGAATGTCCTCTAAGT